CCCCCCTATAACACTGTTGATAATTCCGTTTTATATGAATTCCATGTTGTACGAGTCACTTAGATTTTACAAATACGTGTGCCGGGCTGTGAACGGCTTATTATATACTTCAAGTTAAGATAAATAGAATTTTAATTTATGATACTGAACTTGTAAGAAGTTCATGTTTGAGTTATAATGGCTCAACAATAGTTCCCTAAGAACAAAATAGATCAGAAGTGAATGTTTACTAATTATTGTTACTGCATTTTGTGAAGATAAATTTCAAATATTTCTACAGATTCAAAGATAATGTTAACCTTAATTTCTACAAAATATTAACATTATTATACTTTGTACAATTTTGATGTAAATTAAGTCTGAAATTCTAAATCAAATTTGTTTTTTTGTCAGAAAAATGCATTATAGTTTGGTTTCTTTTAAATCTTTATTAAATCCTTTTTGTTTTGTTTGTTTATGGGGTTCTTGTCTCCAACTTATTACTTGCCAAACAGTTTTTTAAATTTATTTAGTATAAATTAGCAACTTTTAATTAATTAAATTGGAGCTGTTAAATTATGCCTATTTAAAAGTCCTGTTTTTTGGTGTTACATTTTCTGTTCTCAACTAAATAACTTCTGAACTGTACCATATGACCCATCTCACATTTAATTATACAGTAGATGCATTCTTAAGTTCTTATGAATGTTGTCCCAATCAAATTTCCAAAACAAACAAATTGACAAAAAGACCAACTATTTTTACCATAGATTTAGTAAAAATATCATTCAATTTCTAACATTTCTAAATCAAATCAACATCTACAAAAATAAATTTATATCAAAGTTGGGAGAGTTCACCTTCACTCATTTTGTTCCCCAATGGGCTTCATCTACTTGTTCAAAAATTTCATGATTCATCAATTCCAGGTGCTTCCATTTTTTTTAAATCTATGTTTTATATAAAAGCATACGTTTTGTTATCTGAAAAAGATATTTTTATAACTGCATTTAATACTGGAATCAATTATTTGGGTTTTGTTATCAATATTTTAGTCTTATTTTTATTGAAATAATGAAAATGACTATAAATAAATATATCGGATATTATGCAATATATACCAAACTTGGTCACGATAGGAGCCATAAACTCCTCCGCATCAGAAATCCGTGAGAGTTGCATCCTATATTGGAACGGTATTTTATATATATATATGTATTATAGCACCAAAGTCGAACACTACTACTAAGCAATAAGCAAGTAAGAGTTCGATACACAAGAGGGGCAATAAGGATCTAGAAGAGCTGCAGTTTGGCCAACGTGGGTATATATATATACATCTTCCCGTTCTNTAAACCCCAAACAAAAAAAAATGAAGTTTAAGCCAAACTTCTACTCGCCATGCTAGACGTAGCGAACGCCATTATCAACCTTCTAGAATTGCCAGATGGCATTGCTCGACATCCAACGTTCACGTTTTGGGCTGAAAATGTTGGCTGCAACCTATTACATCAAATAAATATTGGTATTTTCCTGAATATCAATACAAATATATATTCTTCACTTGTAAAGTAGTAAATTATCTTTATGTTCATCTGTATATTATTTTTGTTATATTTCAATAATAGAGCAAATGATATTTTTATTTTTAGACAAGTTTATATGATCATTGATTATTAAAATTAAAACATCTATTTAATTTTTTATGCATTAAAATTTAATATATAATAATCATTTTAAATAGGAAATTAAAAAAAATAATCAAAAAGATCAAGAAATGATGAAAACTAATGAAAAAGAAGTTATTCAAGCAATTTGGCCTAGTGGTGATAATGAAAAATCTAATACAGAAACTAGTCAAGAAGACAAAAGTATTGTCAAACCTATATATAAACCACCTCATTTACGTTCCAAGGTAAGATGAAACTTCTTTCAATTATAATTTTTTTTTTCTTTTTGCTTTCTGCTGATTTTGAGAAAAGACATTTTTAGATTTATTTGATTTTTAATTAATTTTTATTCTATAAAATTTGTAGTTAAACTGACAAAAACCTGTGTAGTTTTAACCTATTGTTTATATATATTTTTGTATGTATAGTAATAATGTTTAAAATAATTTATTATTTTTAAGGTATAGATTTACAGCTAATACAGTCTTTTTACTTGTATATTTAGAACTGTTTTATCATAGGTATTTTTGCTGTAGTATAAGAATTTATGGAATAGTAATATGTATATTTCTGTAGATATAAATAAAACTATTTCTATAAATAATAGTGACAAAAGATTAATAGTTGCACAATATTTCAAAAGCTTTTATAATATCTTTGATGTTTTGTTATATCTATATCATTATCATTTTATTTGCAAATGCAGTGAGTGAGAAATGAATGATGTCAACAATAATTGGTTTCTGTTGCATGATAATGCATCTGCTCATATTGTGCTACTTGTTATAAAGTTTTTGGCCTCCACATAAGCCATAGTCATTCAACATCCATCCTATTTGCTAGATTTGAATCCTGGAAACTTTTCTTATTTTCTGGAATAAAATTTGTTTTGAATAATAAACATTTTGATAACATGTCAAGCATCCAGAAGGCATTGACTGAGTGACTAAACATCATCCCTATTAAGGACTTCCAGTGCACCTTTGACAATCTCCACAGTCGATGTCAGTGGTGTTTAATGGTGGCAGGCAATTATTTGAAAATGTGTAAATAGTTTTCTTCTTTTTAAAAATAAATATTTTGTGTTTGTTATAGTAACAATTTCAGTATTTAAATGGCATTTTGTACATACTGTGGTCTTAAAATGATAAGAAATATTAATAGAGATTTCCATATATTGTATAGTATTCTAGAGCTTTTTTAAATTTTATATCTACAGAGTGGTTTATGTAAGTAGAAAATAAAACAAACAAAAAAGGTGTAAAAGAGCATAAATCCAGAAAGTCAGTCCTGTAGTGATAATCTGAGATGAAATTGTCCTATTGAAATGTTCAGAATTAATCGCCCAATATTAAATTTCTATAGATTATGAAAAAGAAACATTGCCAACCATCTGAAGATATTTTCTATACTATTTTTCTTCTGGAAATTGTGATACTTGAAGATCAGAACCTCTAAAAAATCCATTGATTAATATGATAAAGAGAAAGCCATAAACATCAATAAATGAAATTGATGAATGCTAATAATTTAATAATTGTGTTATTATTTGAATAATAATACAATAAGCAAATAAAATAATGAATATGTTTAGCGTGAGCAAATAATAGTTTAGAATTTCACGTGAATAAAATTATTTCGAAAAAGATAAATAATAATTTTTTATTCTTATAAAAAAGTATCATACAAATATATTTATTTTGTAATATATTACTTTAAATATTATTTAGTTCATAACAATAGTTTTTGTATTAAGATAAGAAAATTTCAGCATTTGATCAAAAAGAATTAAAAATTATTAATTCATTAGTTTTAATTTTTTCTGATATTCATTTAATTTAAAAATACAGTTTTGTTATTTGATGTTTGAATTTTCAATTTTAGAAACCACTGAAAAAGATAGAAATTGAAGAAGTGTTAAGTGATAGTGATGAAAGTGTAGAAGAAAATTCAACTACATCTCCTAATTCATTAACAAATAATTCTACAACTAAAAATTCTAACACATCCATCCCTGAAACAACAAAATACATTAGGAAAGAATTACCATCAATTCCATCTAAACCACAAACAGCTTATCAATTCTATGCACATTGGCAAACACTTCGAAATTATCCAGATTTACAATATAAATATTTAAAGGTAAAGCACAGTTATATTTAAGTAATAGCTTATTTTACAATTTCAATTATTATGCTATATTTTGATATTTTATTAAAGTCGTTTATCCTGGATATAGAACGTAAGCAGCTAACCGTGAAATCGTAATTTTCAGAAAGTTCACATATTTTGGTTGGTTGGTCCAATTTGAATTAGCTATTTTAGGTAATCATTTGAAATTTTAAATATGCTGAATATAATAGAAATACTCTATTATTGAAAAACTGAAAAATTTAGAGTTAACTGCTTGTGGTACTATACCCATGATATGTAAGTTCTATACTAGTTAAACTCAATAAAATGTTTGCTTCTTAGATTATAAATAAATGGAAAATAACAAAGTAAATAAATTTATTTACGTAAAATTTATTAATGTAAGACTTGTTCTGAATTCCTGATACACAGTTTTTGTGTAAATACCTTCACTGTTAATTTTTCATGCAGAAATGAGTACCTGAGTAGACAATACTAAATCAGACATAAGTAGAGTTATTTAATCAAACATCGTTTTTTGTTTTTCTCATCTACCCATCTGAATCCTTTGCTTAGATGCAATTTTATTTGAAAGAAATAATACCAGTTCTCCTGACCAAAAATTTAATTTACAATAATGTTTCTGTTAGTAGCATAAAATGAAAACCTAATTGGAAATCAATGAAAGAACGTCAATTCAAAAAGTTTTTCAGAAGCATTTTTATTCTGGATGAGGATAAATTCAATAGCTAGAATGGCAGAGAGGAGCAACCACTACAACAAGAACAAATTGGGCCTATGTTTGCTTCTAATTATTTTAAATGAAATTAAGTAGTAAAACAGATGTAATAGAGTTAGTCTGCATAAAAAACATTCCAAAAATTGAAAAAAAAAATTTTTTGTCAAAAGTGGCCTTAACTACCGAATTTTACTTAACGCTATGTAACCTTGATGAGTTATCTCGTCATTGGGCGTTAAGGGTTAATTAAGTAAAGTTCATAGTGATGTATATAATGTAAATGCAATTCATATGCAACCTTAAGTAACTTAATGAATTAGAAATAATTTTACCTTAACATATTCTGTGTATATTATTATCAAAACAACTTTCAATTTATTTTGCAATATTTAAATTTTTAAATATAGTTTTCAGCACTTGACTTTTTTATAGGTTATAGGAATTAATAGAATTTGCAATTTTTATCAGAATTAAGATCTTCAAATAAATTTTATCATTTAAGTCTTTCATTTTGTTTATTAATAAATAAATTTTACGATAAATTTATAGTTTTAGTTGTATGCAATTCTGTATACAATATACTGTACCATAATCACATTTTAGTTTTTAAAAATAAAAGTGTTTGCATTTATTTTCTTAAATAATAAAGACATTTTGCATTAAAGCCTATAATAAATATTTTCAATAAAATAAGAATAAAAATTTTATATGTAATGCAATATTTATTTTATCATTAAGAAATAACTACAGAATAATTCAAATTATTGAGTGGTAATTTTCCTATGAAGGTACATTAAAAAGATCAATTAATAAAAAGTACAGTAATACCTCGACTTACGCTACCCCAACTTACGTGAACCCGGAGTTACGCGATTTTCAAATCTCGTCGATTTGTCTTTTGTTTGAGTGCCACGCAACTCTTGATTACTCACTCCCCCCACACTATTGTTTAGCTTACATGTTCAGACATGTTGCGCGGAATCGACACATAGCTACAATTTATTTTGTGTTATTTATTTCTGTGTTTGTTATATCTATGGAGCCTTGAGAAACTCTATGTGGTGATTTCTTGTAACCGTGAATGAATCAAAAGACGAGATAAGATTAATGAGAACATTTATTGGCCTACATACATCCGACTTGGATTTTACACAAATTGCAAAATTATACCCTGACTTATGTGAATTCGACTTAAGCGGTTATCGCTCAGTCCCACCTATTGCATAAGTTTGGGGTATTACTGTATAACGAATTAATTAAGGCAGAAATTCTCATAGAAGGAAAAATTAAGGCAACATTCAATGTTGATGACAGATTCAAGCAATGATCTATTTTAATTGTCAAGGTCAGAGGGAATTGGTGGCATCGGTCACTGATATTCAATACTGCCTTAATTTTGCCACATTTTAGAAACAATAATTACTAAAGTTAATGTGTGTTAGGCTTAGATCTTAATAGAAATTACAGTAAAATATTTTATTGCTTCTTATGAGTAAAATCAACATTTAATTTATAAAACTTTTTTTATCTTAGAAGAATTTCATTTTAATATTTTTAACTGTACTTTTCTTTTATTAAACAGAAATTATCTCCTGAGCTCATTCCAAAGTTATTTCATCAGTCAATGGAAATGGATATATTTTCAAATGTAATTATGATTCTTAATGATCATCTTAATGAGTATGTATATTTTTATACTGATACTTTTTATATTAAAAATGCTTAACCTTTTATATTTACATGTGCAGAAGTTATAAACTATGTTAAAATGTAATACAAATTTGGTTTTAATTTTTAGGAATGAAGATTCATTTTTATATTTAAAAAATTTGACTCAAGTTGGAAGATTCAAAACTTTAGCCATGTTTTTATCTTCAAGTGAGAAAAAAGGTATCTAATTAATATGAAATGAATAATTAATTGTTTTATTAATAGAACAGAATACAATTGGAATACTTATATGCTATTTATTGCAATTATTTTAAATTTGAGGTTTTTTTTTACAAAAACAAAAATAAGTTAATTATTAGAATTTTTTAAATAACTTAATGGAAATAGTAAGTTACACATTGTCAATAATGAATGTATGAAACCTGTTAATGAATATGAATATCAGATTTTCACTTTCAGATTTAAAATTAGCTACATAATTATAAATTTTTATATCCAATTATAATTATATTTAATGTTAAACTGCTTATAAATTATGATTAAGAAAAATATATTACATTTAGAATATAAAACAAACAAATTGGAAAATTGTAAATGTTCTCTGAACTTTCCAATATTTTTTGAGTTAATTGATCATTTAAATTGCTGACTAAAAATTTTGTATTAATACATGCTATTTATTCTACTTTCATTCCTTAAATTTTATTAATTATGCAATATTTTGAAAAAATTATATTTGAATTACATTTAGAAATATGTATGAATATGATATTTTAATTCATATAGTATATTTCAGATTTACATTAGAAAATTATCAGCTCCTCAATCCATATTATCATGAAATTAATTTTGTTTTACATAAAATTATGCAAACTGTAGTATTTAATTCATAGTTTTTATTTTGTAATTTCTATGTATATCTTAAAAACTAATAAAACAATTATTACTGTTTGAATTACTGAAAGTAAAAGTAAATATTAATTTTAATTCATCCGTCATTACTGTAATTTTTCCCTTCACTTCTTATGTAGCTTCTTTCAATATAATTCTGAAAAAGAAATGTCTTCCAATTTGAAAAATATATTTATGAAAACATATTTTTTTATANTTTTTAATAACTTAAAGAAAAACAAAACTGCATTAAGGAATTAAAACAATAAACTACCTATGCATACAGAAATAATACAGTATCATCTATGTATTATCTCTCTTTATTTATTAATTATTTTTATGAATCATAATAGATGATTTGTCATTTATTCAAATATAAATATACTATACATTTAATTTACAAACAGTGAATTTTTAAAATTTGAATAAATATACAGTAATGAATCCTTATATCTAATAGGTATTGGCTATGCTTTCTTAAGGATATTTTGTGAAGCTTAAAAATTTTATTTTATTTTGTTAGTTGGAAAAAGTGAAGTAAAAAAGTTCTTGGTTTTAGAGATATTAAAACAAAACATTTAAAAAAATGAATATTATAAAGCCTCAAATTTACGTCATGGTAGGATAATTTTGCAATCTAATGCATGTATAGGCAAAAATAAGAATACAGAAATAAAATATAAAAATGTTTATAAAATGCAATGTAACAACAGCCATAATTAATGAAAGATTACATATTCATGTGAAAGATTTGTACTTGCAAGTACTGTACACATATCCAATGAGATAAAATAACAAGATACAATTCAACATTCTAAAAGTGTGATGAATTCATTCATTGATTATACTAACAACTTATCTTTGTTTACAAAGTTTTTTTAAACTAAGTTCAGGTTTAATATATTAATTTTATCTAAAAATTAGAACTGTGTTGTTATATTAATATCTGTATAAAATTATTAATAATAATTAATTTAATTATTTTCAGCAATATCTGAAATAGTAGAATTTGCCATCTCATCAAGGAAATATACTGACGAAGAAATAAATTCAGTTAAGAATTCATATGAAATATAAGAAGTATATAGTTTTTATTTGTATACAAGTATTTATTTCAATTGTTATTCATATTGTTTGTGTTAGTTAAAAATATCTGTTTATAAAAAGCAATGTATAAAAAGTAATAAATTTTTATATAAATATTATATTTATTAAATAAGTAATCAGTTTAGAACAAAAAATAAAATACAGATGTTTATACAAGAGAAGAGAATATAATATATAAAAAATATTTTTGAATACAAAACAAATGTTGAAAATGAATTGATATATTGATAAATTTAATGATAATAGTTTACTAATGTTTACAAACATCATCACATCAATACAATTATTATTATTATTAACTTTACTATGTTATTTTTTCTTCTATACATATATGAATAATTAAATAAATTTTGCAATAAAGATAAGTAAAAATACTATCCATTATTAACTAATAATTTAGAAATTTGTAGAAAAAAATAATAGGACCTAGAGTAGAACTTGAGTCTTCAATCTTCATAAACAAATATATTAGAATTGTGCGCTATTTTAGTATTAAAAATC